GAATTCTCTAATAGCACCAGCTCGGGGTTGTAAGGATGGAATGGATTTCATTCTGAAATAGTTTAGGATGGCCTGAAGGCCTCAAAAAGTGTTATATTTAGTATTACTTTATCATTGTACCAGCCTTAAAGAAGGGAGCATGCATCCTGGAAAACAAGGTAGCCTTTAAACACAAAGAAGTGCTTGGCGTTTCTTCCTTGGGCTCAGAGAACTGCAATGGTGCTTTTCAGACTCTGGTTTGAATAACAGATTTTGATGTCAGTTTCTCCACTCCTCCTTTTTTGTACAAATAACATCACTGTCCATTCTACACTACGCTATAATGATTAAAATTAGTGGTTGTATGAACATAGACATAGAGTTCATGCAGAGGAAGCAAAAATGAGGAAACGTACAAATAACTACCTGCAAAGATACATTTGGGACCATCTCACCCCCTAGTAACTTCTGTCCCATTAGACATCAGGTATATCCTCTCTTCTTGATTTCTGCAGCTATCCAAGCTGCTCGTTCTAAACCTCTGCATGTCATTTTATCCGCGTGAAATACTAGTTGAACGTTGAGTCTGTACACTGTGGAGATCTTCACATGACAGGTATTTTCTGTCAGACGGAATGAGTCATGGTAAATCCAGTTGGGACGGTTACACTGAGGAATGTTCTAGCTGAGGATAACTTACCTGTGCGATATGTTTTATTTTCTTTGTAAAAAACAAGTGCAATGGCATCTGCATAATGCCTCAGATTTTATATTGACCTAAAATTGAAGAAAACATGGAGAGAGAAACTAAGTAGAGGATAAAACTCAGAAAAACAGTGAAAAGGATCTTAACTTCCATCCAAATTAAAATGATTTAAATAGTTCCCGAATTCAAAAATCTGTTTTAAAAATCCATCAAACATAAAAAGTTACTGCTAGGAAAAACACTACAGTAGTAAACACAGATGCACTCTTGTAATTGCGAACAACCTTCTGTAGTACTGCACTAGTGTTTTTGTCATTTGGTTCGATAATGTAGCACTTACACAAATTTGAAATGAAGCCAGTGAAAAATACATTATAGCTCTTTTGTCATCTCTTCTCAGTACTCATGCTATGCATAAAATTTTAGATAGCTCCAGTTGATGGTCAGTTTCAATTCCTGGTTTTAGATTGATGACAGGTATTTTATGATATGTTCATCACATTACACTGCATATTTTCCTCATAGAATTTGCTATATGCTTACCATTATACAGAAGCAATAAAGATTAGTACCTTCAGTTCAAGTTTCCCAAACAATAATGATATGTAAGATAGACCCGTTCATAGATATGTAGGTTATTCTTAACATATGTCACAAAAATCGTCTGTTTGTAATAATACACAGAACTCTCAACTTAGGAGACACATAATATATTAGTTGTGTTCACAATCCCTAAGACAGCTCTCAACCTTAGTGCTTTGCTGAAAAGACTCATAGGACTCAGCGAAACTATGAAAGTAGCTCCTTCTCACAGCTATGATTTATTATAACAAAGGGAGTCAAAACAAAACTAGCAAAGAGAAAGCGTGTGAAGTCTATGGGAGACCCAGTACAAACTTCTCAGAGTCCCCGCTCAGTGGAGTCACAGGAGAAGGGCTCAATTCCTCCAGCAACCAGTAGTGATGACACGTACAGTGTTACTTATCAAGAAGCTAATTAGAGATGCATTGCTTAAGGTTTCTGCAAGTGGGGTGGTCACGTAGGTATTTTCTTCCTAGCAAGTGCCAAAGTTATAGACTCTGAAGGAAAGAAGAGCATCACACCTGCAAAAGAGGATCATAAACCACATCATATGGTAATCACCGTGAGCCACATTGTACAAGCAGTTTCAGCACAGTGAGCCCCTTGTCTTAGTTACTTTTCTTTTGTAGCTGAGACAAAACATCTGACACCCAAAATTAAAGGGGGAAAAGTTTATTCAGCTCACAGTTTGTAGTGGTTTCTGTCCATAATTATCTAACCCCAAGGCAGGGTGGATGGCAGGCAGGCATCACAGAGAAGAAACAGTTTATGGTGGGCAGAAGGCAGCAAAACAAGCAAGCAAGTAAGAGATAACAACTTTTTCTGTCTCTTAGATCTTATCCAGGCTTCTTAGGGCAAGTAGCGTTTTCACCTTTAATCCTCATGCCCTTGATCCTAGCATTGTGCTAGGATTACAGGGGTGCACCACCATGCCCAGCATTCACTGTGTGTTTTTAATGAAGATGATCACTTCCTAAGTCATATGTGCATATATATTTTATATACTATATGTTATAATTATTTTCTCATCATCTTTTCAAGGGTGGTAATCCTATTAGGGACAGAACTCTATTTTTTCACTTATCCTGTACATTTTCCTTAAACAACTCTGTAAGCCCTAATGCTTTTTTAGAAATGTCTTTCTAATGTTTTTCTAATGTTTTATTTTGTCTACTATTATAAAAACAAAATTTTATATTATTTTTGAGTTATCACCTTCTAGAATTAGGTATTGTTATTACATGGTTTTTCTTATACGAGAATGGTAAAATATAAGTGGATAAATTGAATAAACAGTAGATAGTAGGAACCAACAAAGCAGACCCTTGAAGACGGCAAAGGAGATTGGGTAAATCAGAGGAGAAAAAGGGATCAAAATAATGAAGATATGTTGTAAGCACTTACCATTTCAGGAAACCTAACACCACCGCTGTGTATTGCAAACATACATTAATTTTTAAAATGGAAAAACAACAATATTGTGTTGTTACCAATGTCTTTTTGAAAGATTTTTCAAAAATAATATTGAATACTCTTAGGCAACATTTAATTTCAAAATTACATTTAAGTAGTAAAAATTAAAAGTACTGGTTGCTTTTTTTATAGCTGAGATAAAATGCCCAACGCCCACAACTTAAAGGAGAAAAGGTTTATTTCCATTTACAGTGTGTAGAGGTTTCAGTCCATAGTCAGCTGTCTCCAAGGCAGGGTAGCAGGGCAGAAGGGCATTGCAGAGGAGAAACAGTTCATGGCATAGCGGGCAGAAGGCAACAGCAACAAGCCTGCCCTTTTCCTGTCTTTCTGTCCATTCTTTCCATCCAGTCTACAGACCTATAGATTGATGCCACCCATACCCAGCTGGAGCACCTTAATCCCAGCATCGCAGCCTTAGTCTCAATATCACAACCTTAATCCACATTCACACAGCCTAACCCAGCCATGTATGATCACTTGAGGCTTTGGGGCAACATCTAGGTACAGACTATAACAAGTATATTCTCATGAAAGAATATAGGTATATCAGTAACATATGTCAGTATAGTAATTAATATACCAGTATAGTAATAATCAGTGTATTAAATTAATTGTAAAATGTACAAAATTGTATACACATAGAAATTTTCAAGTGCAATATAACCACACTTAGCAGATTTTTAAGGTATAGTATTAGCTGAAAAATAAGTTTTTCCATAGGCTAAATTTAGAGGGTGACTTCTTACCTACTGTTATATTTTGTTCCTTAAAGCAGTGTCCCTATATTCAGTTGGAATATAATTTTAACTTAAATGGAGATGTCAAAGCTAGCCATTTGTACATTGACAGGCCCTATAAAAGTATATAGACTTCTGTTGAACCTAAGATGACCTCAAATATTAAGGTGCACTGTTATTTTATGATATACCAGGACTAAAAAAGAACATTACATCTATTACAGACATACTTTCTTAATATTTAAAATTGTATTTTATAAATATCAACAGCTTTTGTAGGCATAAGCATAGATTTTAATGATTTTAATCTTTGTTAATATTTTATATTGCATATACATATACACTTATCAGAAATGTATATTAAATAAGTTTGAAAATGCATCCCTAAAACTTTTTGTCATTCATTGTCTGACTCACCTCACACGTAAGATTGTTCTCTTTGCTAGTGAGGCAACATCTTGTAATAGGCCCACCATGTTCTCCGGCTGTTTCACCTAAACTGCTATACTCATTCTGCTATACTCTTTTAATGCTGCAATTTTAATGCTGTAAGTTTTAATGCTGTAATTCTTAACCTTATCAGAATTTGCCCACAGATCTCTTGGGCAAAAATCAAAATTTTTGTATTGCTTTTTCAAATACTCCTTGAAGAGATTGACTGAAGTGTGAGCGATTAAGTATGGTCCACATAAGTCACAGGAAATAAATTCAAACATGTTTAGGCAGTGGTGGCTACATTATTACCTAAGACTCCCACTTCAACCTATTAGAAGAAGCCGGCAAGTGTAAAACATCCAAGTGTAAAATATTTTAGCAATTTAGGAATAGCTAAAATAATATGATGTGAAAACAATTAGTGTCTTGAAATAGTATACTAAAGAAAAATCAAAGATTAAGATAAAATATAATTTGAACACTAGTTAATGGCATATATTTGTATATACACATAAACATTATTCTAGAAAATGAAATTTTATACAGTTGTAATGGATGGGCTGTTTATATGAGCCCTGGTTTTTGTTACATACATTTTATTGGCATTTTAGGATATTTTAGAAATTTTAACTATACTCTATTAAAATCTTTCTACCAGAATTCAAATAGTTATAAGGCTTTCTAGCTTAAATACTTGTAATTTGTTTGATGTGCCTTCTTATGCAGCACTCTTATATGGTTAAAAATAGGAATATAAACGTTATAGGTTACATACTTGCACTAATAAAACTGAAATTTTAAAAATAGCCTGTCTTCTGGAAGTAATGGCACAGTCTAAAATCTCCACTTGGGAAGCTGAGGCAGGAGATTGTCTGTGCCAGGAAATGAAGGCCAGTATACACAGCATAGTGAGATCTCATCCTGAAAACATAAATAACCTATCAAACCAATTTTCTGTGAAGTATTGAAAAAAGTCCTCATCGTACCCTGTCTCATAATGATAATAATATACTCTCTCAGCCTTCAAAATTTTGGGTAAATCCATGAACCCATCAGCTGAATATTTCTCCCCCTCCTGTCCACGTCAGGTCCCGTCAGTAGCATTTTGGTGAATAAATATGGCAGCCGGCCGGTGGTGATAGCGGGAGGCTTGCTGTGCTGCCTGGGGATGATTCTGGCCTCCTTCAGCAACAGCGTGGTGCAGCTGTACATCACCGTGGGCTTCATTGGAGGTGAGCGAGTTCTACTCAGTGTATTTCTCTGACACTCCGTTCTCTGCAAGTCCCTGTGACAAGGATGAACAAAAACAGTTCTTGTTTTCTTTCAGCTGGCTTTTAACCGGGGCTATTTTAAAGTATTGTCGAGTGCAATAAAATGCCAGCTATAGAATGCTCAAACGGGCTGGGGATTTAGCTCAGCGGCACAGCGCCTGCCTGGCAAGCGCAAGGTCGTGAGTTCGATTCCTGGTACCAGAAGAAAAAGAAACAAACAAACAAAAAAGAATGCTCAAACAATTCACTGGATGAAATGAAAAATTTTACCGAGTTATGTATTGCTATACATATTAAAAAGAAAACAGCTTTGATTTGTTTCTACTTCCTTATATTTTATTCTTTAGCTAATTAAGATGGTGTTGTAAACACAAGACTTTCTGGTTTAAATAAATAACCTTTTTTGAGACCATTTTTTGTTCTTTATTTCTTTTTAAGATATGTGAATTACCACTGCAACTATGTTAAAAATAGTGTCAAGAGGTTATATTCTAGATTTACCTTAAGTGATAAAACTATTTTTGCCTGTTTTCTGATTGACGGTAGATGGTTTGTAGCCCAGTCATTACTCAGTGATCTTATTTAATAACTTAGTGAGGCACTTTGCCACTAGCACATTTAAAATGATCTACTGCCAGTTCATTGTCATTGTGTCTTATATAGGATATCTGTTGTCTCAAGCTGATCTGAAATTCTGCAACTAGAAAGCACTGTGAATAATAAATTACATTTAAAAAACTACATTCAAATTTTTATGCAAAATTCATATAACTGCTAATCTCTTCCCTTGCATTCACAGATAAAAAGTAAATATATTTTTATAGTGATTTGAGATCAAACTTTACATTCATGTACTATCTGAGGAGAAAAATATATTAAGGATAGAAGTAATAATGATCTTAAAATATTTCTCATTACAACTTATCTACATTTCCCTGACCTTTTAATATGTAATTTGGGGAATACATTAAATGAAAATTCTCTTACATGTAAGCATTTTCATAATGAGAGAATGTCCTTCCTTTGTGCAGACATACTTACTGTACTATCTATTGCATTTGACAATCAAATTCAGGATAAGTTTACAAGTATATACAGTCAAAAGAAGATGATTTGTGATATTCTTACACCGGCAGTGGCAATAGCCTTATTGTTATTCTGACTTTAAAATTTTATAATTTTGGTCTTAAAGTCTTTCATGCCTCTGCATCACCTGGTATACATGACTGCGAGGGATTTACCGGAAGTTATCATCAGCCAACTTGGTTTCCAACTTTGCTATCTGAAAGACATATCTAGCTTTTAAATCTGATTCGGCACATACTGTCTGTGAGATCAGGGGAAATGATGGTTTAGTCTCCTTGTCTATAGTTGTTTTCTTAGGGAGCTGCTAAATGATTTTTTTTTTTTTTTTTGGTTTTTCTCCGGTACTGGGAACCAAACTCACGACCTTGCGCTTGCCAGGCAGGCGCTTTTGCCGCTGAGCTAAATCCCCAGCCCCCTAAATGATTATTTCACAAAATGACTACATAGAATTTTACACAGTAACTAGCCTTTCTATTTAAAAGTAAATATTAGAAATAATAATCACAATGAAATTTTTATAACATCACTTGTAGAACTTACTTAATTTTGGCAAGACTCTTTTTTATGTTGTTGAGTTAATTGGACTCCAGAAAATCTTAAGTGTTTTGCCCAGTCCTACAAACGAGGCAAGTTTCTGGGAAGACTCAGATCTATTGATTTCAAGTTTTATGTTCATTTTGTCAAGCTACAGTGAGAAATAAATGTCAGCTACATCCTAATGAAAATATGGGATAACGTCTGGAGGCAAAATTGGCAGAGTATGGGGAGACGACATAGTTTGAAAAGCTTTGAAACACATTACCTATATTTTAGTGTAGGTTCTTCTACTTACAAGCTACTTAACCTTAGGCAGGACAGTTTCTTTATCTATAAGTTGTGTCCAACTACACTTACTTTGCATTTCTCATAGGTATGGCAAGGTAGCATTGGAGAGTACACTGTCCTGTTAGTCTCCAAAGCTTGTTCTTGGTCCTTTGTCCCAGACTCCCTTGTACTGATACAAAATGTTTATATTACAGGATTGGACTGAGTATTTGAAGTTAGATATATATGTCCTAGAACTTGAATACTTATCCATTTTTCAGTACTGTTCCAATTTAGGTACATTAGTAAACATAGAATAATCCTTCCTTCTCTACTGCCTCATCTAACATAGAATAATTTCTAAAAGCAGAAAGAGGGGTAGTTGATAAATCAAATTTATGTACTGTAAAAAGGACGTTAGTCGTGACTATTGCTAAATAGTGCCTTGGTGAACGACAGAGGCTTCTCAAAGGCAGTACTCAGCACTGCCGAGGAATTTCATAGATGGTGGGAACTTTGGCTCATGCAAATAATCAGCTTTCATCCCTGAGGTAAAAATATATTTCAAGCCAAAGAATTCTTTTGTAGTGAGTACCCATGTACTATATACATTAAATATGGAATGTGCATGATGTAAAGGCATAATATAATGGTATAAGTTCGGACTTGTATTAATGGCATGACATCTAAAAGAAATATCTTTGATGAGATGTAAGATTATTACAAATTACGACCATTTTAGTCTTCAACTCTGAAATTCTTCAACTCTGAAAGGAAATTTCTCATTTTTAAATTTCACTGTTGTTTACAAGGAAAAAGTCTAGTTTATGTATCCCACATAAATATATGTGGAAGAGATTATTTATGGAGTTAAATGATTTCAGTTAAGAACCAACAGTTTTGTCATTTCTACCTATTCTGTTTTTTTCACCCATCTGTAGAAGTTCTTGGCGTTATTTTTGTGTTTAAGTTAAAGGAATGTGAAGCAGTCATATGAAGTGTCCAGTTATGAAAACCATTTCAGCTTTTACAGTTCCATTTATGTTTACAATTCTCAGAAATTACTACCTACTGTTGCATTTTTAGTTCTACCTTGTCCACTTGAATGTACATCTTGAGAAGTAATTTCTGTTGTAATTGGCATAATGTGTTCATGTTTTCTTTTTTCCCTTTTGTCTTGTTCTTTCTAGGTTTAGGTTTAGCCTTCAACCTGCAACCAGCCTTGACCATAATTGGCAAATACTTCTATAGGAAACGACCCGTGGCTAATGGACTGGCCATGGCAGGAAGTCCTGTTTTCTTAAGTACACTGGCGCCGTTCAACCAGTTTCTTTCTAACACCTATGGCTGGAAGGGAAGCTTTTTGATTTTAGGAGCTATATTTTTAAATGCCTGTGTGGCTGGGGCCCTTATGAGACCCCTTGGGCCCAAACAAACTGCTTCTCCCTCTAAAAATAAGATTGGCATAAAAGAGGAAAGTTTGGGTTCAGAGAAAATCCATAAGAAGAAATCACTAGCACAAAAAATTAATCACTATTTAGATTTCTCCCTTTTTAAGCATAGAGGATTTCTGATCTACCTCTCTGGAAATGTCATTATGTTTCTAGGCTTTTTTGCCCCTGTTATATTCTTGGCTCCGTACGCTAAAGACCAGGGAATAGATGAGTATTCTGCAGCTTTCTTGCTTTCTGTCATGGCTTTTGTTGATATGTTTGCTAGGCCAAGTATAGGATTAGTTGCAAACTCCAAATATGTCCGACCACGCATCCAGTATTTCTTCAGCCTCGCAATCTTGTTCACTGGAGTGTGCCATCTCTTATGCCCTCTGGCCAAGAACTACTCAAGCCTGGTGGTATATGCTGCATTTTTTGGCTTTGGATTTGGGAGTGTTAGCAGCGTCCTCTTTGAAACTCTCATGGACCTTGTTGGTGCCCCAAGGTTCTCCAGTGCCGTGGGCCTCGTCACGATTGTGGAGTGTGGCCCTGTTCTTCTTGGCCCTCCTCTTGCCGGTAAGAATATTGCTCATCCAAGAAAGCAAAGAACATAACAGAAGTAACTATTAACCGAGACTTACTTTACAGTGGATAATGGGATTAGATTAATGCTAACTGCCTGAGAGACACTGAAGATGTTAATTTTAGGTCCTACTATATATTTCAAATTTTTCATAATTGTTCAGTTTTACACCTAAATTTATTTCAGAGCCAGACTGACAAATTTGAAAACTTAGGTTCTTAATGAGAACATAAATTTTTGGATTTCTTATTCAAATTAGTTGTTTTGTGCTTTTAAGAACGTTACCACAACAATAAAATGAAGTTTTATCATTGCTGAGCAAGTTTTTGTTCTGCTTATGTAAAATGCACCAAAAATAAAATAATGACTTCAAATGTTCAGAATCAGATTTTTGTCTATAATTCAATGGTCATAAATAATTTGAACTTACTATTCATCTAAGGGAGGCATAGTTCTGTATCACTGGTACAGAATAAAAGGATAAAGTAAAATCCATTCACAGTTGTTTTGTTGAGCAGATAATTTATGTTGCATACTTATAAGTCATAAAGATTACCTTAAAGATTACCTTTAGACTTTAAGATCTGAAATATTTCCAAAGATACTTACAGAATGTCTGTGTTAAATTAACCAGTAAGGAAATAAAAAACATGTTTAGGATACCACCAAAAAACTGAGAAACTGATCTGACTTTTTAAAAATGGAGAAAGCAAGCAAGCAAGCACTATATTTGTGTATACTTTCTTATTATTTTATAGCTTTCTTTCTAAATATAGTTATGAGTACTTCTGAAAGAAAATTATAATTAGATTCAGTTCAGCTATCATAGGTTTAAATGGTACACAAACTAATTTTTTTGTGGACCAGTCTTTTCCAGTAAGCATTGTATATTATTTGACCAACACTGAATTTATTCACTTAGATTCTTGGTCTGCCCTCTCATGCTTAGAACTAAGGCAAAATACAATTTTTTTTTATGTGTTTAGTCTGCTGTCGATCTGCTTTGTGCAGGATAACAAGGAACCATTGTGAAAGCGGGGAACTATGTTTAATTTGTTCATCTTAATGCTGTCACTGGCTTCTTTTCATTCGCTTTCCCACTTGGTTAGGAACGCATGAAAGCTGTAAGACCTTAGTAAGGTGGTATTTGTCTCTTAGGTAGTATGTCTCTTAGTGAATATATTCAGTGTAACAAATCAATGGTTAAAAAATAGTGAAAGCCATTAGATTTTTTTATTGATCAACTACTTGATTTTGTTATGCAAGAGAAGTACAATTGTCCCATCTTTCCATCCAGAATTAGTGTTGCCAAATGAGTGTTAGAGCCTATATTTTGACAGCAATATTATAACTATCAGCAGAGGGGGGCTGGGGATTTAGCTCAGCAGCAAAGCGCCTGCCTGGCAAGCGCACGGTCGTGAGTTTGGTTCCCGGTACCGGAGAAAAACCAAAAAAAAAAAAAAAGTAACTATCAGCAGAGGAAAATTATATATAAACATGCATGGTGAGATAAAAAATATCGAGTTAAATCAAGGGTTCTAGAGATTAATCTGATTTGTGCACTCCTACTGTACTGAGATCCTGCATCAGTAATATATTTTTAGCATGATATTGAGTGCTCAGTTTGTTAATATTGCCCGACTGTCACGCCACTGGTGCTCGTGATGGTAATTGATTTGGGACTGATTGTTGAAACTGAGAGGGTAGCATCAGATTCTAGAAAGTATATTTGGTGTGCTGAGGCTAAAAAATTATAAAACATTCAGAAAATGCTGAGAGTTCAGCCCAAAGTCATATTAACTGTGAAGGCCATGGGCATTAGGATTCTGTATTTTTAAATGTAACAACCAGCCTTGTATGAATACAAATATCAAAAGGGAAAACAGCGTAAGCTGGAAAAAGCACCAAGATTGTTTTTAAGTGCTCTCCCTAATAAAGTGGGACAAATGGTTCCTCCTCATTAGTTTGGCCTGATGCTGTTGACTCAGATAAAGTTAAAAAAGAAAGCATTTAATCCCAAAAGTGACACAGCATTTAACCAAGAGGTTGGGTAAAGCCATGTTACAGTCTGGTTAAGAGTATGAGACTCAGGTAGACTTCAGTCAGAGACCGCGTTCTGCCGTGCACTGACTGTGTAGTCGTGATCAGGGTACCTCGCAGTGACTGTACCGCCGAGGAGTTCCTACACAGAAAGTATTCAATCTGATGATGAATAGAGCAGCGTGTAGTACTGTCAGGAGCCTCGTAAGAGCCGTTGCTTCTCTGAAGAATATACTTTCGTCCTCTTTATTGAGGAGAAAAGGAAGCACAGGGAAATGGAGACACCTCCATGAGTATGCTGCAAATAGATGCATACATTTTATTGTACATATACGGGTACAAAAATATACCTCACACTTCTGTGCATTTATGAATACACACAAACACATATATATCCAATTTGTCTGGATTGTACATTTTTATTGGGGTAAAAATTTGTCAATAAATGTAATGTGCTTGCAATATAGTGCCGTAAATCCCTGTACATATCTAAATATATAGGAAAGTCATAATCTAGAATATTTTTGTGTTAAAATTTAATTTGACATTAATTTCACTAAGAGGACACAATTTCAGGAAGAATTTGATATTTTTATGACTTGTCTTATTACGCCATCTTAAAAAATGTTCTTTGTTTCCTAGGTAAATTGGTGGATGTAACTGGAAAATACCAATACATGTATATGTCCTGCGGGGCTATTGTGGTCGTAGCTAGCATATGGCTGCTAATTGGCAACGCTATCAACTATAGACTGCTCGCAAAGGAGAGGAAGAAGGAACAAGCAAGCAAGAATGACGCACAGTTACGTGAATCCAGAGAATCCGAACCCTTGAGCAAACCCACTCAGGACGTTATTGTCAAAGATGCAAAAGCACAGGATAGTCCTTCAGAAAGAGAAACTAATATTTAAGAGGAGTCACATCTCTGATTTGGGTTTATGAATTTATTTAGGAGTTTGTTTTGCTTTTTAAAATATTGGAAAGGTTTTGCACTGATGCAAAGAGGGGACTGACATTTCCCCAAGTAACAAATTGTAAATTAGTTTTTGAAAACTTATGAGTAGTTAAATTTTGAGATTTTATATATATATATATGTAATCCATGCAATTTATGTATTTCCATACATGACTCAGGATTTTGAGGTTAAAATACAAATTTCAGAGTCTTCCAATGATTTCTGTCTGGGTTATAGAAAGAGATCCAAATCCCATGCCTGTGGTTTAATTAATTAGGAATATCTTTAATCCCATACGTGATCTTCTTCACATTTCATTTTTATTTGACATTAACGAATGAAATAGAATTGAGAGAAAATAATTTATCTTCCCACACATACAAATCCACATGAACAGAGTGTCTGGAGAAGGAAAATAAATAAAAAATATTATCATAGTCTTTTTTAAGTTAAGAAAATCCAGGGACACAAAAGAAGTATATCATACTTGCACACTGTACTACAATGTGGATTTTAAATAAGCACATGGATGAAAATGAGGGTGATCTCAATTCCAGAATGCAAGTGTGTGCTATAAGAAGTATTGATGTATAAAATAACTTTGATAAAAAAGGAAAGATTCCATTTCACACCATACTTTTGGACACTCGTAGACTAGATAAATCCAGACACATGATTTGAGGGGTCGCCATTAGTATCTGGTGCTAACAAGTAGAACCCCAAGTAATGTTCAGAATGCTTTCCTAACTGTAAATCAGACTGAAAATCTGAATGGCGCCTTGCAGGGAACTATGTCCACTGATTTTTTAAAAGGGTTTTAATTCCTAATCCAGAAAATAATAACCCGAGATTTCTTCTAACTAGACCTCAATCAATATCCATTGGTGTACTTAAATATCAAAGAATAAACCAGAATCCAACTGACAATTTATAGACAGAGAAAATTCTAATTGTCTCCAACATATAGCTGTGATTTGAGGGTACTGTTATGAATAATCCATATCAGTCCAGCTGACGGAAAGCGGGAGCCCTTTTAATTCTTTTAGCTCCCTGCTTTCCACAAAAAGCAGAAGCAAGAAACAAGCCATAAACAGGCCTTTTACTCAGCCACTGAAAATGCTGTGGGGGAATAGTGTTCATGCTAGAGAAATAGTGACCCTGGACAATTCTGCCCTCTACTGACTAGACGTCCTGCTGCCTGTGGGCATACCTGGAAACTACACTAGGCTCCTAGAAATACAGATTGTGTGACATGGAATTGTGGGTGTAGTTTAAAATAATAGCAAGAAGCTTCAAATGTTGCAGCCCAGGTTAATGTAGAAATTTCTCTCTTTTTAACTGAAAACACATAGCCCTCTGAATCCATCTTTAATATAAACACATTTGATGGTTCTGTGCTTTCAGAACTCTAAATATCATAGCTAAATTCAGTAATATTTACACCTATAAATCTGAAGTTTAATATGATAACAAAAATATTTAGTGCTTTATTATTGAAATGATGACGCTCTGGAGATGTCCAAGGGAATTTGCCGTTAATTTTTCTATTGCAGTAGAAACAGGTGCTATTCTTATTTCTTATGATTCTGTAGCTGAACACCAAGCTTTTGTAGTAGCTAACATCAAGAATTTAATTCTGAAATTTATGCACTATTTAAACATGTGGCTCATATTTAGGGAGTGATATAAAATTTCATTTTTTCATTTAACGTTTGCTTTTCTGCCTATGAAGGGATATTTGTATTTTTCAAATACTAAATAAAACAAGATGTGCCAATATCATAGGTAAATAAATCAGGAAAAATGTAACAGTATATGGCTGTTTTAATTTAGTTATACTCAATCTTTATCTTGAATTAGCTGATATTATATTAGTGCTTTTGTATGCAATCCTCATTTGTCCTAAGAAGTACGTCATCATTATGTAGTACCTCTCCAATCCTGAACATATCCAAAAAGTGTCTTGCATTCCCTAAAAGTACACGTTTAAACTAATATAGATGTTATACCCTTAGGCAAATAAATAACAAAGCAGTGCACGTAGGATTTTAGATGTAAAGCTCTTCTTTATCGCCTGCTAGCAGAGACGTGTCCTTGGGTGCATCGCAAAGCCTTCTCCTTGGTAGGAGGTTTATATACTTACAAAGAGTCAAGTCAAAACCACTTTGCATTTGCTTTCCAATTCTTTGGTTGCTTTCATTAACTCTTCACTTCTAATGCTGACTATATTAATTTGTTAGAAAAGAAAGGAAAAGAAATTTGTGGATTCAAAATACATACTTGATACGATATAGTCACGCCTGATAGTAGCACAGCATGAACTTATAATTGTGCTCACATATTAATTCTCATATATATATATATGCTGAGAACTAAACAAAAACACACTTAAAACAATGGTGTAATGACTTACTAGATTCACAGTTGTTCCAGTATAATACAAATTATTTTATTTGTTTGATCTTCCTATACTCTTGAACTTTTTGGAAGAATTACTGCTTTAACAGAATCTTTTCAAAGATTGAAAAAAGAATATTGGCCTAGAATATGCACTATTACGTGGTCACATAATGGGGGAGGTTATAAAGGCCGGTTTCTGTGTCTATAACAGTTAGTGCTGAATATATTCTTTCCCCAAGGAACAACAGGTTTTTATATGTTCAAGATCAAAACCAAAGGCACTCACCACTAAAAATCCTAACATGCCCTGCTCACTATTACGAATTTGTGTAGGAGTGCTATGTAAATCAGGGTCCTGAAATAATTTGTGATCACTGTCTCGTTTAAGTGTGTTGTCATTTGTGTTAACTGAGCATCCCTTTTTTTTTTTCGCTATTTAACTTAGATATTCCTTCACAATTTATGAATAGAACTTTGGGGTGGATTTATCTTGACGTGTTTGCACCCTCTTTTGGTCCTTTTGGTTTCAGTTAACCCAGCATAAAAGAGCCAGTGGATCAGGGACCAGTGTGTTTCACACTGGAAGACATGATTCTTTCTTAACTAAAGTCACATATAAGTTTTACTTGTTTTGTACCAAGTTCCAGACATCTTCACTCATGTGCTAATGGGCTTCACCTGAACACCAAAGAATAAGCAAAACGACTAGATTTGATGTGTTCAAACTTGCACTTTAAATATCTAGGTATTTTAAATTCACCCTTCTCTGGCTGTTCAACGTGACAATCGGGAATATAGAAGAAAGACCAAAACTATATAATATAATCATATTTTATATATACCATAAGTATAGAAATAACCTTAGTGATAAACTTAGTTTCTACCAAAAATACCTTTTAAAACATCCTATCAGAGGTACACGATCTAGACTAATCATGTAAATTAGAAATGATAATTATTAGGCTCAATCAAACAGGGAGAAAAAATGCAGTGTGAAAAGGGAACTAATGTGTGATGCATTTTATCTGCACAATGCCTTTAGTATTCAACTGAGAGCTACGGTAGACACTGTGAACTCGAGATAATAAGTCAGTGAAGACAAGAAAACAGATGAAAAAGCTATAAAAATTCCCCAAAGTTAAAAATTAAGATTGAGTATATGTAAAAACAGAACTCCTGAAGTGTTCATTCTGCTTCCCCATAGACACTATAGTAGCAAAGGGAGATAAAATATAAGTACAAAAACTCTAAGCCTTGTATGAAAACAAAAATAGACTTAACTGCAATTTGTATTATGATTTATTTAGTGTCTATCAGAGCTTGCATTTGCTATAATCTGAATATAATTTTCACATTGCCTACCTTTCTTGTCAGTGCATATGACTCCAAATAGTCATGATGTCACAACCATAATTATTTTAATGTAATTTTTTTCTCATAAAATGGCATGTTTATATGACTCAGGCATATAATGTTGGATTTAGAAGGGAAATGTTATTTATTATAAATAATTCCTGTACTGGTTGCCGCTTACTTCATAAAACATAAAAACTACTTACTCTAGAACACTGTATTTAGAATTTTAGTGATTTTCTCAGTTTGTAGGATTACTCAAAGATGCAAAGAAAAAAGTTATGAGATTCAAATTTTCTAGTTCATCTGTATAATGTATTTATTTTTAATAGATGTCCTAGACTCCCATTTTTCAAGTTTCTCTAAACAGCTGTATTGCTGTATTTTCTGTACTTATTCTACAGAGAAAAATAGTGCTGCTGCTTTTGTGTTCCCGGCTCGACCTTTGACGTCCCTAGAATGTATTTCTCCTCACCTCTGTGCAGGTGCATTGCTTTCCCCATGACGTCATCCGGGGTGTGTGTAGTCTGATTTATCTGTGACTCTCCAGAATGGCTGTCCTCGAGCCAACTGGAGATACTCCTTTGGCCATGACCACTCATCTCCACAAATGAAGAAGCTGGAGGCTTCAGGTTTCCTGGACGGGGGAAGTGTTTATAGTCTAGGGAATACTTTGTTAATAGGAGTTTTCCTTATGACACATAAGTGTATAATTAAATACGATTTTAAAGAATTAGAAAAACCAACTTCCCGTTTTTGGCACTTACTGATCTGAACGTTTCTAATTCTCTTCAAGTGCCTGACAGCTTTAAGAACTGGCATCTCTGAAAAGCAAAGCTCACCCTCACAGCGTTTCTGTCCTGCGTCCTGCAGGCTGTGTCAGCGCAGCGACATGGCTGACACCTCGGGCCCCTGAGTTTCTTACCGTAACTGTGTACAGTGCCAAACACAACTGCCTGCTTAAAAGTGAAATTAAAGTTTCGCCTTGTCACACACTTTTACGATTGGGATTTCATTACATCCGGATGTACAGTCATGTTTGAGGATCCACTTGAGCTGAGAGTCCCAACCATCAGTAACTAATTACAATGCTTATTAATTAAAATCATGTTAATTTTTATATAATCAAAAGGAGCACTGTCTGAGCTCACATCTTTTATAATTCTGGTTTTCTCTTGTTTGCTCGTAGTTGTAAAGCCCTTTCATCCCGTTTTAGTCTTCTCGCTGCTGCCTTTGCTTTACTTTAATTCATTTATGCACAGATCTGGCAGAATTGGCTATGATTAGTATTACACATGATGAATTTTAATGTCTCTGCCTTAAGATGAAAATTAAAATTGACTTTGGTGGCGTACACAGAAATTTTCGGACTAAATTATTTCCCTCATTGCGATGTACTACTGCTTCTCTCTCCATTACTTACATAATTATTTTTTAAGAAGATTTTTTTTTGACTGTGGCTAAACTAACCTTTTTGCATAAAATATGAATGTTTTTACTATGAAATTTAGTTTCTTTGGCAAGTTTAGATACAATTCTATTATTTGTATGTTCTTTATGCATTTTTGTCTTTATGTTTACTTAATAAGGTCAGCAATATTCAAGAATAACTCTATAGGGCAATATTCACTCATCACGAATTTATTAACATTGTAGCAAATATCTTTCTTCCTATGATAAAACAGGCATTTGGGGTTTTTTTTGTTTGGTTTTTAGTCTGAATGTGACAAATTAAAACAGAGATCTCTGTAAGAAAACACTGATACTGAACACTGGGCAGTCTATCCAAGCATAATAAACTGGAAAAAGTTCCCTTAAGAGGAAAAGAAAACTTGAGATTTTTATTTCATAAATTTCAGTGGAATTTTAAAACTTTTCTTTGGCCAAGACTGACTGACTTTTTTGGGGGGCGGGTCTTTACTTTCATATATATCTAGAATAAGATTTCTAGGTTAGACCCATATATAGACCTTGGTCATTAAAGTAGAACACAATTTTTTAACGTATTAGTCGATGGACTTTATTTTTCTACCACCTATTTTCTATTTCTAATGAAAATATGAATATTTTTGGATTAAAAGATGGGATATGTGACATGAAATATTTATTTTATGAGCAATCAAATGTATTATTTTTATTTGGATTATATTTTATTTTTGATGTATTTATGTATCAAATGATATATTTAACTCATTATATCCTCTCAACTTTCTATACTAATTTTGTTAGATATCATATTTTTACTGTACAATACCAAACTAGACCAGATTGAGGACTTTGCCTAAACATATACCAATCCTCTGAGAAAATGAATGGTTGGAAATAGAACACAGGTCTTTTGACTGAACATATTTTTCTTTCCGCTGCACTATTCAAGCCATTTTATTGATAATGATAACCTTTATAGAGTCAATAAAAACACACTTGATAAATCCTGTGTATCCTACATAAATATATTTCTCAAATTACATTTGCAAAATGGTGTAGAGTATTTGCTGACTGCAACAGCAGATAATTCTGGATGAATCAGAGATAGTAACTAGTGAATAGGATGAATCATTTTGCACAAAATATGTTGGAACAGTAGTATGAAACCCATAAAAAGATACCAATATTGTGTTGATAGAAATAATCTGTCAGTATTTAATTAATTGCTTTTTCCTAACACATGAACAGCATCCATTCATTTATTTCTTAAAATGCCAGAGCATGGAATACACAATACAAGTTTGTTAATTACTAAGTTGTATGTAAGAAATTATTACCATTGTATCATTTAAGAGATAAGCTCTACAGTATTTTTAAGAATGTGAAGATGGGTTTAAAAAGTATTCAAAGACAGCACATCTGACAAGTTTTGTTTTTTAAGAGGTTATTGCACCTAAATAAATTGTACTAAACTCCATAACCATTGTGGAAACAGTATAGAGATTCTTTTCTGTCAGTGATATCATCTACCTCCATCATACCTAGATCGATATTTTTGCTAGATTTTTTGTTTTCATGCCCCAACAACAACAACACAAATCACTCAGACATAGACAACCTCTGGAGGAAGAATGATGGCTATTAGATACGCCACAGGAAAAAGGATAAAAATAGTAGTATATCCTCTGCTTCTTTTATTGAATGTTCACTAAAACCTGTGGATAGGGAGGGGCCTAAAGTCATCTGTAGTTAGTGATGTGTTTGGTTAGGTTTAGCCAAACTGCCATCTGTATGCCACCTTTGCTTTGTCACAGAGGATGGCCCCACTAGCTACGCTGAGTCCATCCATTAAATACTAGAAGGCCCCTTCTTTGTAACAAGGACAACAATAACGTACTTCAGTTAGATAAGTCAGGTATTTAATTCTTATGTTGAAGATGAAAAAGCAGGGTCTTTTCAAATATTTACTGAAATTGACATTTGACTGGAAGTTTTTTTATAGAGGTGTTGCCTTCCAGATATTTTAAAGTGTTAATGAAGCATTTCCTAGAATGAGTAATGCCCCATTTTTCAGAGACTTCAGAGAAAAATTTTATTTACGATTACACATTCAACAAATATTTATTTCTCATGTCAGTATTAAATTGGCGTGAATAATAAGATTTGGGGGATAAAAGGTGTACATAATAACTTTTTACAACTAGTAAAACAAATGTAAGACATTCCTTGACAACAAACATGCTTAGCTAACTTTTGCATGAGTTCTTTAAGTGATTGGATTTAAGGGTTAATCTATACTTCCTTGTGTTTTATGCTGTACTTTTATGATTTTTAAATGAAACTATAAAATGCAATTGCTTTGTTCTCTAGATATCTTAATGACCACTGAACAAATCACCACATGATCTATCAACTATAGTTAGTTTCTAGGATAATAAAGTGAAGGGTAGTTTTGATTGCTTGACACCCAAGATGACATGACCTAAGTCATGGCTATACTAGTTCATTCTTTTAAAAGTTAATAAAATATATAAAAATGATTCATTTAAATGGTTGTCAGGCTGGGGATATAGCTTAGTGGCATAAGCACCTGCCTGGCAAGTGCAAGGTCCTGAGTTCGATTCCTGATACCAAAAAACAAACAAAAAAAACCAAATGCTTGTCAAAGTTTAAAAAATGTAAATCCTCTTTTTGCCTTCTTACAGATGAATGTACTTAAGTGATTGTGAGTCGATCTTGATATATTCATTTCTGAATTTTTTTGGTGTGTGTGTAACAGTTCTGAAATTAGCAAATAATATATATATATATATATAAACCAAAGTAATATAACTGGCATTTTCACACAAGTACATATTTTGCTTTAATGAAATACTATGTAGATTTATTTAAATCAGGAATATATTGTGTTGTTGATCAGTTCACCAGGCTGTCCTACTTCCTCGCTAAGCAAACTTTTTTTTTTTTGGTTTTTCTCCGGTACCGGGAACCGAACTTGCGCTTGCCAGGCAGGCGCTTTGCCGCTGAGCTAAATCCCCAGCCCTAAGCAACCTTTTTTTAGTGTGAACATATCCGCTTGCCTTTCAGCTTTATCCCAGTGCTATATGGCCATTATGGTTTAGAAAAATATCTGCGATAGTTTTAAATTTTACTGTGCAACAAATTTGAAACCCAATGTTGACATCCTCTGTGGAGATATATACTTTGCCTGCAGTTATTTATTTTTGCAAATTTATCTCTTTGGTTTTAGACTGTGAGCTCCTTGTAGACAAGAATGTTACCTGAATTAGAATAACAACTTCAATGCTTAGCAAAGTGCCAGGCATAAAATAATGCGTTATTGAAATGAATCAGTGGATCTGGATTATTAGAATATTGCAGTAGTCTGTGAATGTATATTAGCAGTTTTCTGATTGATATCAAAAGGAAGATACAGAAACTTGTGTAGCACTTTCTTCACGTAAAATTGATACCCTGATTTGAAGAATTCATTTTGCTTTTCTCAGAAATTCTATGCAAATGCTAAAATATGCAACAGCTAATCATTATCGTATGTAACAATTATTTTTACTTTCTTTACAAAATCAGAAATGCGTGCTCTAGGCTTCCTGGAAGTGTTGACAATCATTTTAATGACTAAAGGTGCTACTTCTTTCTACCATTTACCTTGATCATAAATGCTTCTCTCTGCTGGCCTTTATTCTTTTTTTCGGTGGGGGGCAATAAAATTAGATATCTTTTTTGTCTGAATTATACAATGTAGCAGTGTCTGTATGGCTTTGTACTCTATTATCACTGTATTTAATTATTTCTTACTACTGCTTACTAACTTAATTGCAGGCTTATGTTGTTTCTTAGTTGTATATGAATATATATTTCTATAATATGTAAGAAAAAACTATTATTAAAATTAAGATGACAAATAAATGTTCATGTTAAAGTTTTGAAATGAAATCTGTATGGCTTCTTCTTAAGGACCATTAAATATTATGCTATTGTATGCTAATTGCACCATACTATCTAACACCAGTTCACATATATGGCCACTTATTTTATCTGAATGTACATACTGATTAATATCCATATCTATATATGTATATACTGATACCTACATCTATCTAGGATCTATACCTGTATCTATCTAGATGTAGATAGATGTTTAACTGAGTACTTAAAAGCTACTGAGTAGTTGTACTCAGTATGTATACTTTTACTGTCCAACAGATGCTCTGTGCTTGACCTATTCAATCCAAATCCTTAAGCCTTAGCAGCCATTAATCATTTCGCTATCTCTGTAGTTTTGTACTTTCCAGAATGTCTTATAGTTAGAATCATATATCATGTTATCTTTGAGCTGGCTTCTCTCCCACAGTAATTTGCATTTGGATTTTTTTCATGTATTATCCATGTATGATGACTTGATAATTCGTTTTTAGCTCTGAACAATATTTCATTGAATGTACCAATTTATTCACGTACTGAAGAGCATCTTTAGTGCTTTGAACTTTGGTCAAACTTTGAATGAAGCTGGTGTGAACCCTCTTGGGCAGGTTTCATGTGGAGATATGCTTTCAACTCCTTTGGGTAAATATGGAGAAGTGCAGTTGCTAGATTATATAGTAAAAATAGATCTAGTTTTTGCAAGAATCCTCCCAAACTCTCTGCCAGAGTGGCTATCTCACTTTGCACTGCCACCAACACTAAGTCAGAGTTCCTATAAATCCTAACCAGCATTTGGTAGTGTCATTGTCCTGGGTTGGAATATCTAATAACTGGAATGGGATATCTCACTGCTATTGTAATTTCCATTTCCCTAGTTACATGTGCTGTGGAACGTCTTTTCGTATGGTTACTTGTCATCTGTATATCTTTTTGGTGAGGTGTAAGTCAAGGTTTTAGCTGGATATTTGTTTTCTTAATGAATTTCA